CGGCGACGGCGGCCGCCGCGCCCGGGGTCGGCAGCAGAGCTCTATCGTACGCGTCTAGGGTGGTGGGGATGCGACTGGCCATGGCTGTGGTGGCGGCCATGGCCGAGGACTGGACCTGGGAGTACTGGGCGTACTGGGAGTACTGGGCCATGGTCTGCTCCGCGTAGGCGTCGTACGCAGAGGCCGTGGCGTAGGAGCGGACGCGGTAGCGCTTGTAGTAGTCGGCCATCCCGCCGTACGCCTCATCGTAATACACGGTCTCCCCATAGCCCGCGGTGTAGGGAGTGCGCACGGCTCCGTACTGCTCGTTATAGGCCTCGGCAAAGTCCGCCACTTGCCCCGGGCGATCTACCGGGCACTCTTTAGACCAGTGCCCTTCCTTCCCGCAGCGGTAGCAGCCGCTCTTGTCTCCCATCCCGGGCGCCGTCCGGAGCCGGCTGGTGGACAACTGCACGCGCATCCGCTTGCCTTGAGGAAAGAGACGCGAGAGGGGAGAGGCTGTGGTTAACCGCGGCGGTAGGGAGGGCGGCCGGCGCCGGCCGGCACCTCTGTGGGCAGGGAGGGAACCGAACCGCCTCTGCCTGCACTGGCGACCCTGTGCCCCGCAGGACAGGGGGGGTTCGCCACAGATTCGGGCGGCACCGTGAGCCGGGGCAGAGGAAGAGCCGCCCCGGCACCACTCGGACACGGGAAGCGGCACTCAGGCACTGACACGACACTGCTGGGCACTGCCTGTCCTGCACCAGGGTCCACCTGCAGCTCCCCAGCTCCGGTTTTCCCTTCATCGCCCTTTTTCCCCCCAACTTCGCAGCCTGCCAGCGGCACAGACCGGAGCAGGGATGCCCCACAGGTCCCCGCTGCGCCACAAGCCCGGGAAGAGGTCCCAGGGGCGGAGCTCAGAACAAACCTGCCATTTTTGGAACAAATCGCACCCTTTTCCTAACAAAAACCACTGCTGCGGAACCGCTCTGTGTCCCGAGACAAAGACACCGCGCCAACACCGACCCCGCGGACAGATCGCCAGCCGAGCGACACAGGAGGTAGCACAGCACTGCCGGGAACGTGGTGGGTGCTGGCAGAGGGACACAGCTCTCTCTGAAGCCACGTGCCAGCACCACCCGCCCCCCCAGGAGCCAAAGCCCAGAGTGCCGAGAAGATAAAAAAGGCACCGAATGCTCCTGGGGCTGGAACGTGGTAGCGGTCGCGACCGCGCTGGTCACCCCTTGCAGCATCAGCTGCCGCGGCCACCGCGCGCGAGGTCTGGCACCAGGTGAGCAACAGTGGCACGGATCTGGCCCCATGCTGGCGGAAAACCCTCGTGGAGCGGCACCAGGGAGAGCAGAGCCAGAGCAGGATCTCCCCTGTGCACCAGGATGGCCCTATGCCTTCCTCTCCTACCTGACCTGCTTCCTCCGGGCCCAGCCCGGCGCTACCTATCCCAGCCCAGGGCTGTGGCCCGGATCACCTTGGAATTCGGTGTTATCCAGCCCGCGGATGGCCTCCACCGCGTCCTCTGCCCGCTCCATGTGAACGAAGGCATAATCCTTGACGATGTCGCACTCGATGACGGGGCCGTACTCCTCGAACTTGGCCCGCAGCTCCAGGTTGGTGCAGGCGGGGCTGATGTTGCCGACGTGCAGTTTGGTGGAGGCCTTGCTCTTGTTCTTGCTGGCCTCCACGTTGATGCAGACGCCGTGCAGCTTGTGGTGGTGCAGGTTGCGGATGGCGTCCTCGGCCGCCG